AAAAAAAAAAAAAAAAAAAAAAGAGAAAAATCACACAAAAAATCATGAAAAATCCCAGAGGCAAACAATATAGTTAAGTCTGGACAGAGAGCTTGATATGCCAGCTGGCAGGGACACAGAGCAGGGAAGGAGGAAGACTCCAGGCAGCCCCCTAGAACTCACCATCAGCAGCTGTCTGTTGGACAGTGCTAACTCCTGTTCCATAGCATCCTGCATCCTTAGGGTAGCATACAGGTTTCTCCGTTGGCTCAATGTCATCTGCCACATACAGTGAGTATGTGAATTCCGCCATCTGTTCCAGGTTTAGGGTGGGGATTAAGTGGGGGAGAGGAGTAGAGACAAATCCTTACTAATGTGGTTCCTTTGTGACCAGAACCTCTGCCACTGTCAGACGACTGCAAAGTTCTTGAAAGGGTAGCCAGAACTGACTTGGAGTCTAGTGTGTAAGTACCGTTACTGAATCATACCATGACGAGGCAGAGCTGTCCGCTGTTACAGTCACACCAAAGGAAACGCAAAGTTGTCTCACCTACATCATTTAGAACTGGGGGGTCCCAGTTCATTGTTCCTAACCATTACCTTTTTGGTTTTGTGTTTAAGACAGGGTTTCTGTGTAGTTCTGCCTGACTCTGCCTTCTGAGTGCTGGGATTAAAGGTGTGTGTCACCACCCCACTATTTTTTTTTTTTAATTTTATTTGTTATGTATATAGTGTTTTACCCTCATGTATTCCTGTATGCCAGAAGAGGGCACCAGATCTCATTACAGATGGTTGAGAGCCACCATGTGGTTGCTGGGAATTGAACTCAGGACCCCTGGAAGAGCAGTCAGTGTTCTTGACTTCTGATCTCAACCTCTGAGCCGTCTCTCCAGCCCCGTCCCCAGTTATTTATTTATTTATTTTTTTGGTTTTTCGAGACAGGGTTTCTCTGTGTAGCTTTGCGTCTTTCCTGGAGCTCACTTGGTAGCCCAGGCTGGCCTCGAACTCACAGAGATCCGCCTGGCTCTGCCTCCCGAGTGCCCAGTTATTTTTTAAAAAGACAGTTTCATGTAGTTGGCTGGCCTCCAACTCACTATGTAGCTAACCCTGAACTTCTGATGCTCCTGTATCTCCTGAATGCTGGGGAATAGACCTAAGGCTCTGTGCATACTAGGCAGGCAGTCTACCAGTGAGCTATCTGTACCAACTCCCCTGCCCTGCAATGTCTCACCATATAACCTAATTCCCTGGAAGCATGTAGACGAGTCTGGGCTAAAACTCAGAGACCCACCTGCCTCTGCTCTCTCTCTTGTTGAGATTAAAAGCATAGAGCACCAATTGGGCCCCACTTTAGTTATTTATTTATTAAAATTTTTCAGACAGGGTTTCTCGGTAGCTTTGGTGCCTGTCCTGGAACTCAGTCTGTAGCCCAGGCTGGCCTCAAACTCACAGAGATCCGCCTGGCTCTGCCTCCCGAGTGCTGGGATTAAAGGCGTGCGCCACCACTGCAGGGCCCGCTTTGGGGCTTTTGAAGAGTGTATCTGTCAATCACACTGCAGCCTCTGCTGGCCTTGGACTCAGCGTGAGCCCCCAAGCCCCACGTCTGCCGGCAATTCCTTAAAAACCTCAGGGCTGGAGGACCAGCTGGAGGTAGAGCACTTACGTGCACAAAAAAGAAAACCTCGGCAGGTGGAACACGCAGTTCCGTCTTCTGCATATGGTGTCCCTCGTTCAACAACTGCTGAATTATCTGCTGTATCATTAGTACAAAGCCAGGCAAGAAACACGTGAGATTAAAAAACAAAAGAAGAGAAAAGAATGGCAAAACCAACACTTGTGCTTTCCCGCAGAGATTGGGAAGCAGGCACAGGAAAAACCAGACTTATCTACGAGGCGTTAACATGCCCATCTCCGACTGCTGAGAACAAGGCTGCTCCCTGTCCTCTCCACGTTTTCTTTCTGGAGGAGTCCCCAAGGAGAGCTGACTTAGGCGATGGCTCAGGGAGAGGAGAGTGGGAAAGGAACTGAAGGGAGGAGATGGAAACACAGACTACCTGTTGACCAGCTTCTTAAGTGCCACGGCTCTTTGCAAAGTCTGGAAGAGAAGGGAGTTCTGTTGATCTGCCTTGATTACTAGAATCCGACCACCAGCCCCCACTTTTGAGGAACGAAGTCGTCAGTATCCTAGGGGGACGTGGGAAAGCTCTGCATTTCTCAGGATGGACTGAAGAGAAATACAGGGGCCAGAGCGGGACATATGCAAACAGCTCCCCATTTTTGCTGACTCTCCTGCAACTGTTCCACAGGCCTTTCTTTCTCAGGAATGCTGTACTCCTGGCAAACCCACCCAGAAACTAGACCAAGGGAAACTCCTCCAGTGTCCAGCCTCCCTCCAGCTCTGCCTACCTCTTCTACTTTCGTCATTTTCTCCGCAGACATATCTACAGACATGGTGGGTGTTTCTGAGGCCACCGGGAAGGCTCTCCTTTCTGTTTAGTTTGGTCACTAAGGTTTCAGTAGTCATAGCAACAGCTAGGCGTCCAACAATGACCCTGGTCCTGGGAGATGACTGGTTACTTGGCCTGTTGTCCTAGTGACCTAAAGGGAATCCGGGTTCTCCAGCTTTCTATTAGTGACAAGGCCAGGCTATTATGAGCAAGAGTCACGGAGTCCCTATTTCAGGATTTCAGACTACCTGCAGAGTCTAGATCCAGACACATAGTCCAACCAGTTTCTGGCAGCAAAGCTTCACCCTATGTCCTGTAAGGGAAATGCAGACACACATCAAATGACCGTTGTTCTAAAACCCACTTTAAATGATTCATGGCCGGGAAGTGGTGATGCACCTTTAGTCCCAGCACTGGAGGAAGAGGCAGGTGGATCCCCACGAGTTCAAGGCCAGCCTGGTCTACAGAGCGAGTTCCAAGACAAGACAGGGCTACATAGAGAAATCCTGTCTCCAAAAGAAAAAATCATGGTTTTTTCAGTAGTTAATTTTATTAAATAATTTGTAAACTGACATTAGAGGAAATCACTTCACATTGTCTCATCATCTTGGCATAGGTGATCCCAAGTGCTAGAACATTCTTTTTACTTGTCATAACAGTATTGGGTGAAGGTGGGACAAATCTTTCCACTTCAGGAAAGTCATGTTCATACACCTGGTTTAAAGGGAGCACCAAATTCCCAGAGGACATTCTACCCACTTCCTCACTCCCTTTTCCTCATGAAGCTTTGCCAGACTTTTCCACCAATCAATCTGAGATGCTCTAAACCCAAATATTTCTATTCAAATGAGTGCAATAGGGTAGACACAGCAGACATCTCACCTCAGTTTACACCTTTGGGACTAAACAGCATTGAACAGGGTAAGTAAATTACAGCCAAAAACAAGTGAAGTAATCCAAGGAAGCTTTGACAAACATTAATGACACTTGAATTCAAATCCAGAAAAAGTGCTACTGGGAGATAATGAGGTCTTGGCCAATACTTGAAAATGCCTCTTAAGAAAGGGCTGGGGAATGACCTTTAGACCTAGCTCTGTGAGAACTCTGGGAAGTCTGGGCCTGCTGACCAGAGACCCTGAAGCCGCACAGGTGGCATCTACAGCTCCATCACAGAGTACTCTCCAGGGTGTTATAGTTGTCCTTAAAACTCTTCAGTTCCAGGAAGTGCTTAGGGCGTTTGCTCTTCTGACTGGAGGGGAGGTATGTGACCTGGATGGTTGTTGGCGACATTTCAGGTGACTGAGTTAGGTCTTTGGCTGCTGACTGGTGTTGTCTCTGAGAGCTCCCAATTCGTGCTTTGACCCTGAAGAATACACAGAGAGGACAGAATGAGAACTAGCAGAAAAGGGGTTGGAGAGATGGCTCAGTGGTTAAGAGCATATCGTGCTCCACCAGAGGATCAGAGTTCAATTCCTGGCAACCATGTCAGGTGTCTGTAATTTTAGCTCCAGGCCAGAACCTCTGCTTATACTTACACAGAACTAAAACCAAAAAAAAAAAAAAAAAAAAAAAAAAAAAAAAAAAAAAAAAAAAAAAAAAAAACCAAAAAAAAAAACCCAAAAACTTAAAAAACCAAAAACAGAAGAATACAATTCAGAAATTATTCCACTCCATAAATGCAGCTAAAATGGTCTCTGATGTATTTTACCAGTGACTAAGCAAGGCACAGTGGCCCATACCTGTAATTCCTGGAGGCAGGAGCATCACAAATTCAAGGCCAGTCTATCTATATAACAAGTCTGTCTGATTCTCTCTCTCACACACACACACACACACACACACTGACCCCTCCCCCTGCTCCCCAGAAACAAATAAAAAACCCAAACTACTCATTACTAGAACCATTTGATAATTTAGGTATGACAGGAAAAACAAATTTTATTTTATTAAATCCTTATTTCCATCATAATCCTTTTTGGGGTGAGAGGGAGAGGGGACAGAAAGGGTCTTACTATGCAGGCTAGGCTGGCCTTACAGGAAGTGGGCCATCACACTCGGCTCCAGGAACAAAATATTTAATGAAATACACAGGAAACCTGTTTCCCAGACAGGGTTTCTCTGTGTAGCCCTGGCTGACCTGGAACTCACTCTGTAGCCCAGGCTGGCCTTGAACTCACAGATCTGCCTGCCTCTGCCTCCTGAGAGCTGGGAAAGTATGTGCTTCGATGTTGCTAAGTACAATCACAATGTTGTACAGCCAACCTTCAAAATACTTTCCACTTTACAAATCGATGTTTATGTTGACTAAATAATGCTGCCTCATCTTCCCAAGTCTTAGCAACTACCATTCTATATCCCGTTTGAGTCTGACTACTTAGATCATGTAAGCAAATCAGCATTTATTTTTCAAATGATTTTTCTTTTCTTTTGGGTTTTTTCTTTCTTCCTTCCTTCCTTCCTTCCTTCCTTCCTTCCTTCCTTCCTTCCTTCCTTCCTTCTTTCCTTCCTTCCTTCTTTCTTTGTTTGGTTTGGTTTTTTGAGACCGGGTTTCTCTGTGCAGTTTTGGTGCCTGTCCTGGATCTCGCTCTGTAGCCCAGGCTGGCCTCAGACTCACAGAGATCTGCCTGGCTCTGCCTCCCGAGTGCTGGGATTAAAGGCGTGCGCCACCAATGCCTGGCTCCCTTTTGGTTTTTTTGAGATGGGGTTTCTCTGTGTAGCCTTGGCTGTCCCAGAATTTACTCTGTAGACCAGGCTGGCCTTGAACTCACAGAGATCCACCTGCCTCTGCGTCCTGAGTGCTGGGATTAAAGGCATGCACCACCACATCCCGTTCAAGTGAATTTTTAACAGGTTTCCTGCCTAACTTCAAGATTTTTTGTGTATGTGTGCCTACAAGTTTATGTTCACTGCACATGTAAAGGAGCCCAAAGATGTCAGAAGTTGGTGTCACATCCCTTGGACTGGTCACTGTGAGCCACCCAATGTAAGTGATAAGAAAAAACCCAGATACTCCAATAGAGAAGTACTTTTCACAGCTAAGCATCTATCCAGCTCCTAAAAGTTTATTTTTAATTTTTGCTTTTTATGTATGTCTGTGTGAATGTAGGCTACCTGTGTGTGGGTACCCTTGACCAGGAGAGGTGATAGATCCCCTGGAGCTTAAGTTACAGGCAGTTATGATCTGTCTGACACAGTTGCTGGGAACTAAACTCTGGGCCTGTAGAAGAGTAACAAGCATTCTTTTTTTTTTTTTTTATTTTACAATACCATTCATTCAGTTCTACATATCAGCCACAGGTTCCCCTATTCCCCCCCTCCCACCCCTTACCCTTACCCCCAGGCTACCCCCCCATTCCCACCTCCTCCAGGGCAAATCCTCCCCCGAGGACTGCGATCAACCTGGTAGACTCAGTCCAGGCAGGTCCAGTCCCTTCCTCCCAGACTGAGCCAAGTGTCCCTGCATAAGTTCCAGGTTTCAAACAGCCAACTCATGCAATGAGCACAGGACTTGGTCCCACTGCCTAGTTGCTTCCCAAACTGATCAAGCCAATCAACTGTCTCACCTATTCAGAGGGCCTGATCTAGCTGGGGGCCCCTCAGCCTTTGGTTCATAGTTCATGTGTAACAAGCATTCTTATAAACGCTGAGCCACATCTCCAGACCCCTTGTCTAACCCTTACCAGTCTCTCTCTGCCTTGTACTTGTGCATCAGGATGTGAGGTCTAAAGTGCTCCAGGGTCCTGCTGGCCTGTCTGCTGCCATGCTAACCCCCATGATGGTCATGGACTCCGAACCTTTGGCCATAGTGAATTTTCAGAGCAACAGCAACAGAAAAATATCTAAGTCATATGTGGTTGTTTTCATTACTGCTCTACACTAAAGAACACAGTAGAAAGCATGTATTATTTTTATGGCTGTTAGCTTAAATTAAAAAAAAAACTGTTTTATGTGTATGAATGTTTTGCTTGAATGTATGTATGTGTACCATATGCATGCCCAGTGCACAAGGTTGTCAGAAGGCACTAGATCCCTGGAACTGCAGTTATGGATGGCTGTGAGCCACCCTGTGGGTGCTGGCATTTCAACAGCAACAAGTGTTCTTAAAAGCAGAGCCATCTCTCCAGTCCTGGTATTATTATTGTTGCTCCATATTGAAACAAAGTCTCACTTGACCAGCTGGCCTTGAGCTCCTTATGTAACTAAGGATTACTATGAAGAGTCTTCGCTTCTCCACCTTCAGAGCTGTTTTCAGGAGGGCATCACTGTGGCCAGCTTTCTGCAACACTGGGGACGGAGGCCAGGGACTGTGCCTGTTTGGCCAGCACTCTACCAACTGAAGTCTATCTCCAGCCCCTGGCAACTAACTCGAGATCGACTTTCCCTTTTCAATGTGCGTGCTCATCCACAACTTGCCTAAGTGGCATAATGAAGCTATTTTAAAACATTCACCAATCAGATTCTTCTAAAAACACCTGCTTAAAAGTGAACTCTTTATTGATGTTCTTTCTTTAAAGACAGGGTTACACTGCTTTATATGGTTAAAAAAAAAGTGGGGTGGAATTTAATTCTTACTTTTATTGGACCAAGGCACAAAAAGAGGACCCTAGAACAGAAGGAATCCTTATGTGCTAAAATTTCCTTTGCTAGTTATAGCATTTCTGACATTAAAAAAACAAAAAAAAGATTTATTGTTGTTTCCTTTGTATGGGTTTTTCTGACTGCATGTATGTCTGTGCACTACATACACGCCAGGTTTCTGTGGAGGTCAGGAGAGGGCGTCAGATCCCGCTGTAACAGGAGTGACAAATGGTTGTGAGATACCATGTGGATGGTGGGTATCAAACCCTGGTCATCTGTAGGGGCAGCTAGTATTCTCAACCTCTGAGCCATCTCTCCAGATCTTTTGTTTTGGTTTTATTTTTTGAGACAGAGTTTCTCTATGTAGCCCCAGATGTCAAATAATTAGCTATGTAGACCAGGTTGCTCTCCAACTTACAGAGATTTTCCTGGCTTTTCCTACTAAGTGCTGGTATTAAAGGCCTGCACCACTACATTCAGACCACTTGACATTTTAGTGGGTCAGACAAAAGCAGAAACAAAAAAACCCCACAAAATAAAAATAGCAACCAAAATATGCATACAAAGTAGAAGATTTTCTTACTAGCCTGTAGCACAAAATATCTGCTTGTTAATTCTGGTAAGTTCTGTGTGAACAGTCTAGCACTTCTGTATTCTTTTATACTTACTCTGTTTAGAGACAGGGTCTTGTTATATAGCCTGGGCTGCCCTAGACCTAGAGATCCTTCTCCTTACTGTCCCTCTATGTCTAAGTAGCCCTCTATGACATGCCCCACCGTACTTACACAGTGGCCAGCTCGCTTAAGGCCTCCTGATACCGCAAATATTCACTCTGGCCAAAGACCTTAGGGAAGAGAAAGGAAGAATCAGTCTCTTTGTCTGGAGCTTCCATCCCTTTAGTTCTTTGAGGGAAAAACGGACTGTCCAACTTACCCCTGTCCCATAGCGGGCTGTCTCATATCCATCCAGGAGGGTATCAATAAGGGCCTTACGTACACCCTTGAATGGAGTGCTAGTGCTTCGCAGATCTAGCAAGTAGGAGCGGAAATTCTTACCCATTAGAGAACAGGGATGCCGGCCTTCAGCATGAAATGGGATCTCTGAGAAGACAACAGCATAATGATACCTCTTTTCCTTGTCTTTTTTCTAGTTAATTTCCAAACTTAGAAATAGCTCTGCGGGCGGTGGTGGCGCATGCCTTTGATCCCAGCACTCGGGAGGCAGAGGCAGGCGATCTCTGTGAGTTCAAGGCCGGCCTGGTCTCCAGAGTGAGTTCCGGGACAGTCTCCAAAGCTACACAGAGAAACCCTGTCTCAAAAAACAAAACAAAACAAAAACAAAACAAACAAACAAACAAAAAAACCCCCCAAAACTAACAAACAAAAAAAGATCTGAGGAACACAGCTATGCCCAAGTGGTCATTTGGGTGGTGGCTACACAATTCTAAGCTCTATGCACTAACATCTTTTTTTTTTTTTTTCCCCCCGAGACAGGGTTTCTCTGTGTAGCTTTGTGCCTTTCCTGGAACTCGCTTTGGAGACCAGGCTGGCCTCGAACTCACAGAGATGCGCCTGGCTCTGCCTCCTGAGTGCTGGGATTAAAGGCGTGCGCCACCACCGCCCGGTACCATCCTTTTTATACTGTTCTACTTGGCCATCTTGGCTTTAAGATATAAACTTAAAGATAAGAACATGTAAGTAGTCATACAACATGAAAACAATCTATTAATGATCTCTTGTGGACGTAGTGAAAAAAGCATGTGCTATCATTCTTTTGTGGGAAAACAATTTCAGCACTCAGTCCATCAAACTAAAGGTCTCAGTAGAAAAACTTAAAAAAAAAAAACAAAACCATAATCAAGTGCTAGGTGTAGTGTATTGGTACATACCTATAATCCCAGCATTTGGGAGGCTAGGGCAGGAAGATGCTGAGTTTAAGGCCAATGTGAGCTACAACCTGTCTCAAAGAAAACAAAACAACAACAACAAAACTCCAAACCCACCACAAGCTGGGGGCTGGAGAGCTAGCCCAGCAGTCGGCAGCACGTACTGTGCTTGTGGTAGACCTGGGTTTAGAGGCTCACCACCAACCAGAATTCCAGTTCCAGGGAGCTGATACCCTCTTTTGTCCTCCTGCACACACACAGTACATACAAACTCATGCAGGCACACAATACATACAAAATAAAAACAGTAATTAAGGACAGAGTGTGGTGGTGTATGCTTTTAATTCCAGTACTGGGGAGGCAGTGGAGTTGTGAGTTGGAGGCCTGCCAGGGCTAATATCGAGCTCCTGTCTTAAAAATCAAAACAAACCGACAGTTTCCCCAAACAAAAACTAAAACAAAAGAAAGAAACCATAAACTGGGCCGGGAATGTAGTTCAATTGTTTGTTTGCTTATTTAACATACCAGAAGCTCTGGGTTTGGTAACTAGCTCAAAATCAACTGGGTGTGGTAGCAAAATGCCCACAACTCAGCACTGGGAGATAGAAGCATGAGGCTTCCTCCTCACGTTCCAGTTCAGGGTCATCCTTGGAAACACAGTGTGTTTACAACTATCTCCAAATTAAAAAATTAACCAAAAACCCAGACCAAAATAAGTCAGACTCTTGGGAGAAGAAATAATTTACCACTGGGCTGTGGTGGCACACCACCTTCATCCCAGCATCTGGGAGACAGAGGCAGGTAGATCTCTGAGTTTGAGGCCAGCCTGATCTACAGAATGAGTTCCAAGACAGCCAGGGCTACTAAGAGAGAAACCCTGTCTCAAAAAACCAATAATTAATTAATTATCCAAGGTGATTTATCTCTTTTTTTGAGACAGCATCTCTCTATGTAGCTATCCCTGGATGTCCTGGGACTCCGTATGGTAGATGAGGTTAGCCTTTAACTCAGAGATCAGCTTGCCTCTGTCTCCTGAGTTGTATGATTAAAGGTGTGCACCACCCCACCTGGATATCCAAACTGATTTCTTTTAATCTAGTACTGTCAAAACTCTAGTGATTTCCTTCTAGCCATGATGTTCAAAAGGATAAATCTTCACAAGGTGCTCATCATTCTGTTCCCTAGGTTTAGAATCTAGAGTACACCTTTCTCAGCTAACTTACCCGAGGCACGGATGGCATCTAGAGCTTTCATCCTGTACAGATAGTTGTAGCAACCTGCTGGAAAAAAGACCAGTCTCAGGTAGTAACTCTCAAAACACCCACGATTATAGTAAATCAACAAGCTGCCTTCTTGTATCTGCCATATATTCAATAACAGAGGATTATGGGTGGTTGTTACAGGCTTTGAAAATTCTAAGAGTAGAGGAGTTCTAAAGCTGTGGGACTCCTCACTGTCACTGAAACATCCACCAAGAGCTTGTCACGTACTTTGAGTCCCCTGGGTTTCCAGCTGCAGTAGTCTTGTGTCATCATCTGCAAGGAGCTGGGGTTCATACTTGATATCCTGAACCCTGGAGAGTCGAATATCAATCTCCTCTTTTAAGTCCTGTACATTCAGAGGAAACAAGACAGCATCATTATTTTGTATTCTGCTCCCTAACAATCTGTAACGGGTCCAGAGTACGTAAACCTAGATGAAACAGGGAAATCTAAGAATGGGCTTGGGATTCTCTAACATACACCTCCAAGTCAAATCTCAATCTCTCTCTCTTTCTGAAACATGGTCTGTGTAGCTTGGATGTCCCGAAACCCACTATGTAGACCAGGTTGACCTCAAATTCATTGAGAACTACTTGCCTCTGGAGTACAGGGATTAAAGGAGTATGCCACCTCATCTAGCTTTTCTCTTTTGAGAACTTAATGTGTTTGTATATGTCTGAGTTGTACATGCACCTGAATGGTTGTACATGCACTGTGTCCTCCTCCTCCTCCTCCTCGTCCTCCTCCTCCTTCTTCTCTCTCTCTCTCTCTCTCTCTCTCTCTCTCTCTCTCTCCCCAACCCAAGGGCTTGGATTTTCCCATGGGGGCTGGAAGCCAGCAAGCCCCAGCAATCCTTTAGTCTCGGCCACCTTCAGAGCTGAGGTTACAAGGGGACAGGGGACCCCTGGTTTGTATCATGGCTGGATCAGAACTCTAGTCCTAATGAGTGGACAGCAAGAGCTCTTATCCATTGAGTCATCTCATCAGCTTCTAAGCTAGATTTTTTTTAACTTGCCAGAATTTCTTTAGTCTTTTTTTTTTTTTTTAGTTTTTCGAGACAGGGTTTCTCTGTGTAGCTTTGCGCCTTTCCTGGGACTCACTTGGTAGCCCAGGCTGGCCTCGAACTCACA